AGCCTGGGCACCAGCACGTCTGGAAGGAGATGGAAGAAATAATCCTGGCCCCTCCCTCTATCTTCCATATCCCCATAATGGTCTGGACAAGAAGAAATGGGATGAGATCCAGGCTGGGGGGGCACCCACCAGCTTTCTAAAAAGGAGGTGAGCTGAGCCCAGAGACATGTTGACCTAGGAGGAAGTGAATCTCCACTTTGGGCAGTTTGAAGGACAAATATTAAAGAACTGGTTGGGCAAATATGTCTTGGGCTGCTATGGGCAAATTGAAACTGCCTTGGGGCAGGATGGTGATGAGGTGGACTTCCAGATGTGCTGCACTGCTTCATTACAGCCCAAGGAATAGCTGTTGGTGGTTGGAGTTACAAGGGGTTCCTGGTGGGGCTTTAAGTGGTTTGTAGGGGTCATGGACAGAGCTCCTACCCTCTCCCTGATCTTCTCCATCACAGGAGCATCCATTTGATGTGCCACTAGTGAGACAGTGTTGAAGTCCAGCCCAGAGTCCCCAGGATCCCTACCAGTGCCTTGCCAGAGCAGAGGAGTAGGGAGGAGGCAGCAGGAGAGGAGATAGTCTTGTCTTTTAGCCCAGGCGACTCCGGTTCCCTAGGGGAAGGAGCAGATGTCTGATCCTTTGAGCCACTCAAGAAAGAAATTGGATAAAGCACTGAAGAATATCACGCGAGATCATCCTGCCCCAAGAACAGAGTCACATAGGTGGGACCTGCCCCACCTTCCCACCTCTTGTCCCCTCTCTCTGCCAGCTCACAGGGCAGTAAACCTCTAATGTGACATCAAGATGCCATTTGCATTTTCAAAGCTTCTGCTGTTGCTAAGCAGAGGAATCACCTCTCAGTTTGTCATCCTGCATGAATGCAGCTCACAGGAAGGAGGAAAGAGAAGAGGAAGAGAGATATTAAAAATAGATGATGAGAACAAAGCAGAAAGGACTTGAAGTTTTCATCTTAGATTTACATAAGGCATTAGTGGCATCTTGAGGTCCACTTTACAGTGACACGTTCTGCTGCCAGGGGCTGAATTGATGGCATGTGTAGCATCCTCCTCTCCTGGAGAGGCTTGCCCTTCCTGGAGCCATGTGTTCCTACACCAGCCCCTATTTCTTGTTCTCTGAGCCCAAAGAACAAACCGATTCCTTCAGGTGAAACCAAAATTGGTGATGAGGAGGGAACAAAATGGCTTGTGGCACAGCACACCCCACGGACAGCCCTGCGCGCAGGCAGGCAGTGACCATCCATGGGAGGGCAGCTAAAGGAGGAGGAGGAGAAGGCTTCAGCCTTTCATTGCAGGATATTGGAGCTGACTAGAAGGGAGAAATGCCGTATGTTAAATCAAAAAGTTAGGTCCATCTTGGGGCAGAGTGGGCCAAGGGAAGGGGGCACTAGGCCAACCAGCTGAGCTTCCCTGGGAGCATGAGCAGAAATGCAGGCAGGAGCCCTGGAGGGGGCTGCCTGGGCTTCCAGGTGCTCTGTTGCTTCAACAGCTTTTATTTTCCATGAGCAGCGTATGCTTTTGTCAGAGAGAGGGGAAAAAAAAATTAGGGGCGAAAAAAGACCAATATTCTCTTTAAAAAGCAGGCCTGATGAAAAATTTCAACCTGCCCTATTGAATACACCAGGGCTTTCTTTACTTTCTGCCTTGCATGATTACCTCTTTCGTTAACATTCGAGGCAGGCAGCAGGCGGAGATAAGTCCTGAATAGCTCCAAACTTTGCTTCTCCCATCTCTCCCAGTGTTCAGACAAAGCCCGCTCTGGAGGCTGGCTGCAAGGAACGGGGTTCCCATTGACACAGAAATAGGGGCAGCTCAATCCCAAAAGGGCTTGGCTCCCGCCTGTTCCATCAGCCCAACATTTTCCTCCGAGCCGTGTGGTGAGCTGGGACACCACATTAATGGAGCAGAGCAGGCAGGTCCCTTCCTGGCTGGTATCCATGAGGAAGGTCACAGTGTGGCCCTGCAGGTTGGATGCCTCATTAAACTCATTAGCAGTGAACATGGGGCAGCACGTGGAAGGGCAGCTGGAAGAGAGCACTGGATCTCGGGCCTTTGGGAATGGTGGCCATGGCATTAAACCTGGGTGTTTGGGAGGTGGGGATGGAGGTGTGAATGGGGCTGATAGGGTTTGCGGAGCAGGGAGCAGGAATGAGCAGCTGGGACTGGGCTCTTGGGACTGGGAAGGGCTGGGATGAAGCCAAAGATGCATTGCTGACACCCATTGCAGGGCTGGGTGGGATGTGGTGGGCAGAGGTAAAGTGCTTTCTCTCTCCTGGAGGAAGCGCCGCTGAGCGCATCATGTCTGGAACCCTCCCAGATGTGGCCCAGATGTTGAAGCCAAAGAAGATTGTCCAAACCCAACAGTGATGGAAGTACCTGCCACCCAGGAAGTCTGGCACCAAAGTCAGAGCTTGGCTCCTGCCCACATGTCCTGCCCATCAGCTTGATCCCGTATTGACCAAACATTATGTCCATCAACCCAAGACTCTGGTAGGAGCTTTATCTCCTACCAGAAAACACACCCAGCATGGTACAACACAGCCGCCAAGGAGCTCCTCCAACCAACAGCACTTTGGCCATGCAAGCGTTTGTGATGCTGCCATCCAGCCCCCGGGCTGAGGATGTGGGAGCAGAATTAAGCAGCTTTCTGTAAATATGACTCGCTCCAGGGTGGTAAGAAGCGAGCGATGGCGGGTGACCTGTGCCTGTGCGTACAGAAACACACACCCTTTCACAGCACAGCCCGGGCAAGCCGGGGATGGAGGAGGGATGTTCCTCCAGATTCCCTCCATGGCAGTGAATGAGAGCTCAGCCCAGCCCACGACAAAACCCGTGCCAGTCTCTGCAGGGACAGTTTCTAGGGCCAGTTGGGATTTTGCAAGGGCCTGTCCCCCTGACGTGTCAAGCTGGAGTATTTAGAATCATAGAATCATTTAGGTTGGAAAAGACCTTTAAGATCACTGAGTCCGAGTGAGTACAGCCTGTAGGCACTTGCACGCCCTGGACTGGGTACCAGTACTGGCTCTGGAACATCTTTGGAGAAGGTGATGGGGGTCTCCTTGGGGCAAGCCCAAGAGGCAGGAGGAGGGCAAGCAGAGCAGCTACAGTGATGAACAGGAGGATGCTTTGCTCGCCACCGGCCGACAGCAAATTGGTCCTGGTAACAGCTGGTGCACAGGGAAAACCATCTGCGTCCTGCTCTCCTCCCTGGGCAAGGGTCTGGAGAAGGAGTGGTGGCTGCCAAGTGCCAGGTAGACACTTCAAGGTCCATCTGTAGCACAGGCTGTCCCAGCCGCATGGTCCCCCACCAGTGCAGGGAGCTCCTGCTGTCAGACCTGTGCCTTCAGGAAAGTCCATGGCTCTGGAAAAGGAGGTTGGTCTAAATGGTCACCCATGCCCATGGGACTGCTCAGGATGGGAAAGCAGTGAGAGGTGACAGAGGGAACAGAGAGGGTCAAAGCTATGCAGGGATGTGGAGATGATGGGACGGACCATCCAACCTGTTTCTCCAAGGAGCGGGAGCCTCTGGGAGGTGGACTAAGCCCTGTCACGTGCAGAAGGATGGAGGAAATGCCAAGCAGAAATGGGTTCCAAGATATCACAAACATGAGGTGTCCAAAGAATCCCATACCTTTCTACGCGGTAACTCCTGTTATTGTCTAAAATAAATGTCCTGCCCCTCTGAACGTCACCGAGTTGGTGGATGGAGCAACACCCCGCAGCAGCGAGTCCCACATCCCATGAAATAAGTGTTCCCTGCTGTCGGTCCCTGCCGTCTGGACTGCCCCTGCTGGCTCTCCCCTGGTTCCTGCTGTCCTCCATCGCTTTCTTCATCTAATTCATTCCTAAAGTAAATCAACTCCTCAATCCTCCTCTCTATACAAGCAGCAGCATCTTAGGGTCTTTCCATCATTCCACCCCAGAGAGCAGTGATTTCCTTCAGACACCCCCAGTGTTTTTGGAGGGGGACGGGACGGGACGGGGCGGGACAGGACAGTCAGAACTCGTCGTCAGAGCCTCAGAGTTATTTAAATTATTCCTGCTAGAACCGCCTGAGTTCTTCAGTCGGAGGAACAACGCTTCAGCCTCGCCCCGTCAGGGCTGTCACCTCCTCGTTATTTCCCCTCTTCCGGGTGACATTAAGGGGTCCGGCTTCCACCCGCAACCCCCCTAACTCCCCCCCGCCGCCCGCCGTCAGGCTTCCAAGGGGGAAGCGCAGGATCCGCGCCCCCTGGGGCTGCGCTGTCTGTCCGTCCGTCCGTCCTCCCGGACAACCGCTCCGTCGCTTTTTCCTTATTTATTTTTTTTTACAACGAATAATATTGGGGTTGTGCGTGGAGGCCACGCTCACGGGTGGATGTACCTCGCTTCCCCCCCTACCCCTTGCAAACTGTTCTCCCTTTCCCCGCACCGGGGAACAGGAGAAAGGCTCGAAATTGCGTTTTTTTTTTTTTTTTTAAATGCCTGTAGGACCTCGCGTGCCCGTGGAAACACGTGAAAATACACACCCCCACACACAGAGACACAACCCCGTGGGAGGGGAACGGGGCGGGGGGTGGTTGTTGGGGGGGGTGTGTGTGTGTGTGTATAACTGTCCCTGTCCCCCCCGCTCCTGCTGCGTGGGAGTCGCTGCGGGATTCTCAGGGGGCGCGGGGTCACGCACGGCCACTGGTCAAAAAAACAACCCTTTGTACAAAAAAAAAAAAAACCAAAACAAAAAATCGGGCTTTTTTGTCACCGTAGTTGTCTGGCAGCGTGGGACGCCCGTGCCCCTCCGCGCCTTTCCTCCCGTGGGGCCGGGTCGCGCCGAGGTGGGGGTGGGCGAGAGACCGGGGGAAGCGGCCTGAAGCTCCGCCCCCCAACCCCCTCCAACACGCGCGCGCGAGTGGTGGGCGCGCTGCCCCTTTAAGGGCGCCGGTGGGGGCGTGGCCCGCGGCGGGGCGTGGCGCGGCGCGGCGCGCTGAGGTCAGCGGCGAGCGGGGCGCCGTCACAAAAGGAAGTGGCGGCGGCGGCGGTGGCCGTCAGCGCGGGGAGGGGCGGGGGGCCCGCGGGGCAGCGGCGGCGGCGGCAGAGACAGCGGGAGCTCCGGGTCGGCGGCGGCGGTGGGGGGGGGCGTGGGCCGCGCCATGGCCCAGCAGCAGATGAGCAGCTCGCAGAAGGCGCTGATGCTGGAGCTGAAGTCGCTGCAGGAGGAGCCGGTGGAAGGCTTCCGCATCACCCTGGTCGACGAGTCCGACCTCTACAACTGGGAGGTGGCGATCTTCGGGCCCCCCAACACCCTCTACGAGGGGGGATACTTCAAGGTATGGGCACCCCCGCCTCGTCTTGCCTCGCCTCGCCGCCCCGCTGGGCCTCCCGCCGACGGCGGGGCCTGCACACCCCAC